TCTGGGAGCACAGGGCTCAGATCAAGTTCAACATGTCAGAGGAAATCCAGAGATTCAGTCAGAGTCCTGGCTTTGCCGGAAACTTCTATGAGGACCACAGCTTCCTCTTCATGAAAATGAGGAGCAAGGGATGATTTATTAAATTCATTTCATATCTGGATGTTTGGTGAGTCTCTAAGAATGGCAGAGGGACACTTTAGAATCAAAATCCTAGAGAAAAACATATGCGGTAACCTCTTTGACATTGGCTACAGCAACTTCTTCCAGGACATGTCTCCAAAGACAAAGGAAACGAAAGCGAAAGTGAACTTTTGGGACTTCATCAAGATCAAAACCTTCTGCACAGCAACAGAAACAGTCAACAAAACAAAGGGGCAACCCATGGAATGCGAGAATATATTCACAAATGACACTACAGACAAAGGGCTGATATCCAAGATCTATAAAGAACGTCTCAAACTCAACACACACAAAACAGATAATCATGTCAAAAAATGGGCAGAAGATATGAACAGACACTTCTCCAAAGAAGACATACAAATGGCTAACAGAAACATGAAAAAGTGTTCATCATCATTAGCCATCAGGGAAATTCAAATCAAAACCGCATTGAGATACCACCTTACACCAGTTAGAATGGCCAAAATGAAGAGGACAGGAAACAATGTTTGTTGGAGAGGATTTGGAGAAAGGGGAACACTCTTACAGTGTTGGTGGGAATGCAAGTTGGTGCAGCCACTTTGGAAAACAGTGTGGAGATTCCTTAATAAGTTTAAAATAGATCCCTGCCTCACATTGAGGTCTTTTATCCATTTCAAATTTATCTGTGTGTATGGTGGAAGAGAATGGTTGAGTTTCATTCTTCTACATATAGCTGTCCAATTTTCCCAGCACCATTTACTGAAGAGACTGTCTCTTTTCCACTGGATATTTTTTCTTGCTTTGTTGAAGATTAATTGACCATAGAGTTGGGGGTCCATATCTGGGCTCTCTACTTTGTTCCACTGATCTATGTGTCTGTTTTTGTGCCAGTACCATGCTGTCTTGGTGATCACAGCTTTGTAGTAAAGCTTGAAATCAGACAGCATGATGCCCCCAGTTTTGTTTTTCTTTTTCAACATTTCCTTAGCAATTCAGGCTCTCTTCTGGCTCCATACAAATTTTAGGATTGTTTGTTCCAGTTCTTTGAAAAATGCCGTGGAATTTTGATCGTGATGGCATTGAAATTATAGATTGCTCTAGGCAGTATAGATATTTTAACAATGTTTATTCTTTCAATCCATGAGCATGGGATGCTTTCCCATCTTTTTTTGTCTTCTTCAGTTTCTTTCATGAGTGTTCTGTAGTTCCTTGAGTACAGATCTTTACTTCTTTGGTTAGGTTTATTCCCAGGTATCAAAATCCTAGAGGAGAACATAGGCAGTAATCTCTTCGACATCAGCCACGGCAACTTCTTTCAAAACATGTCTCCAAAGGCAAAGGAAAAAAAGTGAAAATGAACTTTTGGGACTTCATCAAGATCAAATGTTTCTGCACAGCAAAGGAAACAGTCAACAAAACAAAGAGGCAACCCACGGAATGCAAGAAGATATTCATAAATGACACTACAGACAAAGGGCTGATATCCAAGATCTATAAAGAACGTCTCAAACTCAACACACACGAAACAGATAATCATGTCAAAAAATGGGCAGAAGATATGAACAGACACTTCTCCAAAGAAGACATACAAGTGGCGAACAGACACATAAATAAATGTTCATCATCATTAGCCATCAGGCAGCTTCAAATCAAAACCTCATTAAGATAGTACCTTATACCAGTTAGAATGCCCAAAATTAACAAGACAGTAAACAACATGTGTTGGAGAGGATGTGGAGAAAGGGGAACCTCCTTCACTGTTGGTGGGAATGCAAGTTGGCGCAGCCACCTTGGAAAACAGTGTGGTGATTCCTTGAGAAATTAAAAATAGAGCTACCCTGTGACCCTGCAATAGCACTTCTGAATATTTACCCCAAAGATACAGATATAGTGAAAAGAAGGGCCATCTGTAACCCAATGTTCATAGCAGCAATGGCCGCAGTCACCAAACTATGGGAAGAGCCAAGATGCCCTTCAACAGATGAATGGATAAAGAAGATAGTGTCCATATATACAATGGAATATTATGCCTCCATCAGAAAAGATGAATCCCCAACCTTTGTATCAACATGGATGGAATTGGAAGAGTTTATGCTGAGTGAAATAAGTCAAGCAGAGAGAGTCAATTATCATATGGTTTCACTTATTTGTGGAGCATAAAGAATAACACAGAAGATATTGGAAGTTAGAGAGGAGAAGTGAGTTGGCAGAAATCAGAGGGGAGACAAACCATGAGACACTCTGGACTCTGAGAAACAAACTGAGGGTTTTGGAGGGGAGGAGGGTGAGGGTTGGGTGAGTCTGGTGGTGGGTATCAAGGAGGGCATGTATTGCATGGGGCACTGGGTCTGGTGCACAAACAACGAATCTTGGAACAATGAAAAAATAAAATTAAATTTAAAAATATAGAAGCAGGGAGATGGCAAGTGATGTCTGGGGGGCACAGTCACAGAGGGAGGATGGGACAACAAAGAAAGGTCATGTCAAAGAGAGGGGAGGAAAAATATCAGCAGATAAATCAGGATTTCTGAGATGGGATAAGAAAAGGGTGACTCCCTGCCTTATGTGCCATTCATTTAGTAGTTAATGAGAGCCTACCTTGTCCTAACATCTGAGCCACGTTCCCATGACTATGGCCTTAGGAGTTGCTTTGCCCATCATTTCTCCTTAGATCAGCTATTCCCAGCTGGGGATGATTTTGATCCTGAGGGAACATTTACCAGTGTCTGGAGATATTTTGGTTATCACAACTGGGAGGAGGGACTAGTGGTACTTGTAACTAAGGCAAGAGATGCTGATAAATATCCTATAGAGTGCAGGGCCGTTCCCCACAACATAGACTTACCTGGTCCCAAATGGCAATCCTGTTTTCTAGTTAGTCATCTTTTTATCAGCAACATTTCAAATGTAAAAGAAACAAACTATTCAAGAGGGAGGATTTGCTAAAACAGATAGAACATCCTGGTAGGTCATTATGATGTGTAGGAGGAGAATCTGGTTCTATGCAGCTAGAGGTTAGTTCTTCCTGAGATTCACTTATTCTGGAAGTTTCTGCCATGCCTCATTAATTATGACAACTCCTGCTCCAGGAACACATTTCTTAGATATTTCTAAGAATTCTATCTGCTCACTAGAGGCATCCTTTAATTTGGTCAAGTTCTGATTGTTCTCCTTAAGTATGTTTATGGCATCATGCTGAAGGCCATGGCCTCAGAAATGAGGCTGCTTGAGTTTGAATGTTGTGTTGATCACTAAAGTGTATAAAACTTTGAGCAAAACTCGTAATTTCTCTAAGCTTCATCCTCCCCATCTATAAAACGGTAAAAATTAGAACACTTATAAAGCAGTTGGTAAGGATTGAAAGAATTGATGTATATAAATCCCATTCACAATGCCTGACACATAAGAAGCACTCCATAAATTTGAATTCTGTTATCATTGGCCAAGATTTCTGCATTATCATGCTGTTCAGATGAATGTGGCAAACTTAACGAAGAAGTGATGTACAGGAGTTAAAAAGAAGATTCTGAAGCTAGATTTCCTGGTTTGGAATCCTGACCCCACTGTATACTTGCTATGTGGTTTTGGTCAAGTCCTTGCAATTTTGTGTGCCTCAGTTTTCCCACATGTAAAGTGGGGATTGTAATAGGTATCTTCTAGGGTTGTAGTGAGAATTAGTAAATTAATATATGCAATGTTTTATATATGTAAAATATACAATAAGTTCTAATAAATGTAAGTAATTCTTTCACTCTTCTGTCTAGACCGATCATAGCTTCAATTCAGAACAATTTTTTTTTTTCTCAAGGAAACAAGGTGTCCCTTGTCATGGCCAGTGGGACAAATCGACCAGGAACGTGAGGGTAAGAAGATGGTGAAAAGAAATTAAGAGACAAAGAGATGGGGGCAGGAGGAGCCCTGAGGAGGATGTCCAACAGTGCCGATTTTATTCCACATCTTACAAGCATTTATAAGGCAGACCACAATAGGAGGAGTAATACATCAGTATCTAGTCAGATAACTGCAAGTTCCTATAACAAGTTTACATTAACTGCAAACAAATCTCATGATGCCGGGTAGTCCCGGCTAATGCCATTAGCTACTATTGATGCAAGACAATCAACCAGGGAGTGGGTTATGAGAAGTATAGGAACAACAAGGACCAACTAAGAATTCATGATCCTGACCACATTGTTCCCTTCTGTAGGGAGAGCGTGTGGGAAGTCACGTAGGTGAGCACACAACACGTAGCACAGACCTTTCCTCAGTGTTACTCAACTTTCCTGTCCTTAACCCCTTATCAAGGCATCCGGACTTTAAAGGAGACACAAGTCAGGGCCTGGTTTGATCCACGACTCCAACCATGCCGTGGCCTCCAACAGTCCCTATTAATAATGAAAAGTTAACATGGATATCCAAGACCAGAGATACCACAGAAAAATTATATAATTGCAAAAGATCCAATATTAATTAAACATTGAGGGAATAGTGTTCAAGTTGGTCCTCAAGATAAAAGTTCACAATTGAGACAACCAAGTACCTAACAATTTTGTCTGGTATACAGGACACCTGTAGCCCCCTTCTGTGAACTTACTCCAACTTATTTCTCTGTTATGGGGAACAAATCATACCAGGTGGGTTTATTACTTCCATTCCCATAACCTTCTGGAAAAGTAGACAAAAGCTAATGTTTAAATCTGATACTGAATTATCTTCAGTTTTTCACAGAATTCAATTCTAAATTTGGATCACTGAGTTTCCAATAAAATCAGTTTTCTGGCACCCATGGCCATGGGTGTCGATGTCAGACCAGGAGGTATAAATAGCTGTGGATGAGAGACGTTCATCACAATCCCCAGTCCAGTTCTAGGGAGGAGCCATGAAGACCTTCATCTTCCTTGCCCTGCTGGGAGCCGCTGGTGAGTCTATAATAATAAATGTGTGTGTCCCTGATATTTTTGTTTGCAGTTTGTACTCTGAAAGACAATGAATGTGGAATAGAAACTCTGTACTCAAGAAGCTTAAAATATTGAAATGACAGTGTATATAGTAGTCCCTTGTTTTCTGTGGTACCTACATCCACTCCCGGTAGATGGCTTAAGCCACAAATAGTACTGAACTCTATACATACTACGTTTTTTTCACCACATATACATACCCATGTTAAAAGTTAATTTACAAACTGGGCACAGTAAGGGATTAACAACAAAACTAATAATAGTTTAGAACAATTATAACAATGTACTATAATAAAAGATGTGTGACGTTTTTCTGTCTCTCTCAAAATATCTTATTGTACTGTACTCACCTTTTTTAAAATTATTGTGTTATATTAGTGACCATACAGTACATCATTAGTACTCATCTTTCTCGTGCTGATGTGAGATGATAAAATGCCTACCTGTCCAGATGAAGTGGGGTAAATGATGCAGGAATTGTGATGTAGTGTTAGGTTAGTAATGACCTTCAGAAGATACATCAGAAAATGGATCATTTGCTTCCTGACTCTGGTTAACCAAGGTTAATCATACCAGCATAAGGGGAGGGACTACAGTTCTACAAAAGTTTATACATAATTCAATCTCCCTTGTGGGGAAAAGATGATAGTGAGCAAGAGTACTTAGCACAGAAAGTATAAAGAGACAGAAATTGCCCTGAACTTCAAGGTAAAATCTATAGAGAAAGAGAGAAGAGGAAAGGATAGTTCCACATTAAGGAAATGTTGTTTTGACCTTTCTAAGCATTTGAAGTTAATCATTGGGAGATAAAATTGGGACTAGTGACTAGTCTTGGGCTCATTGAAGAGGCTATGAAGGTCAAAGCCAGAGTCTCCTCTACACCAACAGACATCTTCACAGGGATCTTGACGAGTGAAGGTACTTCATTTCTCACGAATAAAAGCTAGGGGCTGGGTTTTACAACATCCTCACTAATGAAATCTCTCTGGTGAAAAATAACATATCATTTAATCATCAGAAGAAAGAAAAATGTCTATTTCTGGCTTTTCATACTACTAAATTTTATACAAATCTTACAGTGAAACTTTCCTGAATTGGATGAGTATAAATTCAATACATTAGTCTATACATGTGGAAATATCTTTCCCAAAATTACTTTAAAATACTTGAACAATAGGGTATGTATAATACAATCATTGACTTTGGGAGCCATACAAATCTTAATAATTCAGTGGGCAGACTTTAGAATGCTGAATAAACTTTAAAATGTTGGAAAGAAAATGGAGATAAGGGGAAATGTTGGAAAGGAAACAACATAATATTCTGTTAAATCATGTCATGAAAATTTGAGGCAAGAACCAAAAGAGAAACTGGGGGAACAAGAGTACAAAACTCCCAATTCCTTCTAGGCTGGAACATTCTTAGGTGGCTTCTAAAAGGTTCCTTTTTGTTATGTCATGGGGTTATCTACCCTATACCAACTATCATAAATAAACTTAAGCATGGTTACTGCAAATTTTATTGAACCTATTTGTGTGACTGCTGAGCAAAGTTTTGTTTGAAAAGTATTCTTTATACACTTAGATAGTAATGTTCAGGGCATTTATTACTTAACGAGTCTCTGATCCAGGTGTGTTTTTGTGTGTGTGAGGGTGTAGTATATACATTTAAAAAAAACAGTATGTTTATCAAATTTAAAGCATAAATTTAAAAATTAGATACTTATAATAGTATAAGTTGGGTATGTTTTTAAAATAGAATAATGAGATTTTGAAAAAATATCATGTAACAATTATGCTATCACCATTTCCTGATTATGTGTGACAGGAAAACATCTTCTCTTTTCTGACTAATCTGCAAAAACTTAGTGGTAAGTGGAAACTACAAGATAGATCTGATCTGTTTAACTGATTTTAAAAGCTTCCACTTTTCCTTGTCAGTTGCTTTCCCCATTGATGATGATGACAAGATCGTTGGGGGCTACACCTGTCAGAAGAATTCTGTTCCCTACCAGGTGTTCCTGAACTTGGGCTACCTCTTTTGTGGTGGCTCCCTTATCAATTCCCAGTGGGTGGTGTCTGCAGCTCACTGCTACAAGCCGTAAGTAACCAGTCCTCACCCCCCTGTTCTCTCAGATCAACTCATGCCCGAGCAATGCCAAAGAACACTCAGGGCAAACTACACAGTTATGCTTGAGGGTCAGGCATTCAGATATAGGAGGCTAATCATTCCTCCCAGGTACTGAATAATGCATGGAGGGAATTTTCCATGTAAAGGTAAACTTAGAGTTCCCTGATATCCTTCCAATGATGGTACCAAAGACATGGGGTGGAGGGAACTAGTGAGTGATGAAGAATACTTAGAACTAGCTTAAGAGCATGAATCCATAAATACTCTTAATCATTACGGTTCAACCAGGGGACTAAAAAGGCATATGGAGGTAATAATTCACATGAAGCTTCCAGTACAACGCTGAAAATAAACACAGTTCATTCTGCCCCCTTAAATTTCTGTCATATCTCTGATTCCTGGTGCATCTTCTCAGAATAATACGTAATCTCAACCAGTGGAGGAGTAGCAGGGGCTGAGTAGTGACCTCCAAATTCCTGTTTCACCTGTCATCATATTACTGGCATCACTTAGTCTTGGGAACTAAACATATCTAACTTTCTAACAAGTTGGTGGCCCTGTGAGTCTGTAGTGGTAGGAACACCCATGTAAGAGTTACCGTCACCTGCACCATGTCGGGTAGAGCTGCCTTAATGCACAATTTTCTATGTGTGGAAATGCTTGCAGGGGATGGTGTTCATGCTGATGTTCATGACTGGAGTGAACTGGGAAAGGGGAAAAGCTCAGTGGTCCTTAAGGAACTTATGTCCTTTAATCCAGCCAAATCCAGGTGCGTCTGGGAGAACACAACATCGCAGTTGTTGAGGGTGGTGAGCAATTCATCAATTCAGCCAAGGTCATCCCCCACCCCAGATACAATGAACAAAACTTTGATAATGACATCATGCTGATTAAACTGAGCTCTCCCGCCACCCTCAACTCTCGTGTGTCTACTGTCTCTCTGCCAAAATCCTGTGCGGATGCTGACACCCAGTGCCTCATCTCTGGCTGGGGGAACACCTGGAGTGTTGGGGGTAAGTGTCACCTAGAACAAAGGCACCAAGTCTGGAAATCCTAGAAGTGAAGGACATGTAGAGGTTCAGTTACTCTAAATTGTCACTCAAGGCAAGTTTCCCAGAGGATCGTTTGTAGATATACAGAATCTTAGGAAGATGCCTTTGCTGGAAAACACAACAAAAATGAGCCATGATAAAGATGGCAGCTCTTCAATCGAAGTGTGATTAGTGATTTGCAAAGAAGTAGAAACTGAGGAGGTAAGCAGAACAGAGGGATTTGGTACAGCCTAAAGTAGAGACCTGCTTGAGAAAGAATCTCTAGATTTAAGATCTGTAGTCACTGATGCTAACGTCAGAGAGAACAACTTGTTGATTAAAACTGTTTGGAAGGCATTTCAGATAACAATTGTTCTTTCAAAATAGAAGATACTGGCAATAATATTGCCAGTATCTATTGGGTAGGGTATGTGCTATGATGAGTGTGGGGAAGTGTGTAAACCTGGCGATTCACAGACCTGTACCCCTGGGGAAAAAAAAATATATGTTTATAAAAAAAAAATTAAAAAAAAACAATAAAATTTTTATCTTAAATAAATAATAAATACGGTGGAAAAAAAAAAGAAGATACTGGCAATCTGAGAGAGTAGCGATGGTGGGGGGGGAGTGGGGGGGAGATTGAAAGAAAATTTCCAGGAATCCTGTGGGAAATACTTTTCCATTTTTGCTCTCATGCCCATCAGAAAATTTTCCTGATGACCTGCAGTGTCTTCAAGCTCCCATCCTCTCTGACAGCACTTGCCACGATGCCTACCCTGGCAGGATCAGCAGCAACATGATCTGTCTGGGCTACATGCAGGGTAGAAAGGACGCTTGCCAGGTCAGTTTCTTTGTATTCCTTTCAGTCAAACATCATGCCATTCCACAAGGTTTCCTTCCCCAAAACACAGATTGAAAAGCTGTGTTAGGGATGGATTATAAGGGACCTTGGACAGATTTGGGATCAAGATTAATTTTCTTTTTGAGACATTAATGGCTAAGACCAAGAGTAAAAAGATACACAGAAGATGGTGTACAAACAGGACATCCTGGTGCCTTTCTGAGGAGCAATATTGTAGAAGGAAACTTTCTGAAAAAAGGCATGGCTAGCTGGGCAGCCTTGCACTCACCAGTCCTCACCTCTTCTTGGTCCTGCATGCCTGCAACTAAGAAAAGAGCAGAACTAGGAGGAGGGAGGAGAAAGGAGAGGCATACAGTCAGAGATTAAGAATTGGATTTCCAAGGGAAGGGAAGGTGCTTCCTAGAGAATTAGCAACCTGGGAAAAGAGACCCAGGGTAATGGAGAAATTGCATTTTGCCTTTTTCCCATTTTGGCATAGTTGGGAGTTCTTACTGCCTCTTCCTTCTTGTACAGGGTGACTCTGGTGGCCCTGTGGTCTGCAACAGAGAGCTCCAGGGCATTGTCTCCTGGGGTATTGGCTGTGCTCAAAAAGGCAAACCTGGTGTCTACACCAAGGTCTGCAACTATGTAAGCTGGATTCAGGAGACCATTGATGCCAACTAAGCATGTAAGCATATGTACTGCTCTATGCACCATTCTCTTGGACAATTTCACTTCCAGCGATGCCTGAAACAGTATCTAAAATAAAAATGTATATTCCACATCACATGTGTCCAAGAACTGTCCTTATTTTGTATTTATGAACTTTCTCTCCAAACTCTCTGCTACTTAAGAGGGTGGACATGGAATTGAACAATTACACAAGGAATGAATTGGAGAGGTTATGGCGTGGTTCATTATGCCTGCTCAGAATGAATTTAGTAATCACCGACTATCTGCTAGGCTCTGTGTGGTCTGTTGAGGGTATAAGCATGGATAAGCTTAGAGGTCACTGTTACCATCACATTTTTGAACAGAGGATGACACCAAGGTGCAGAAAGTGAAATTCAACTGCCCAAGTCCTTCTGCAAACTCATAGTCAGGCAGAGACTAGGTCCAGTTGTTCTGATTCCTGGTGCATTGCCATTGCTATGACACCACAGTCTTCTCTTGCGCTCTAATCTGCCTGAAACTCTGTGAGATTATATGAGGGAAACCGCCAAGTGGAGAAATTGTTATAGATTACTGATTTCCTGCATTCTCCTAGGTTTCACTGACCTATGTGTTCTAGTTCTCTAAGATCTTTCTTGTTTTCCTAGTGGGGTTGTATTGCTATAATAGCCATTATGTGTGCAGGCAATCTGCGTCCCTCTTCCACCACCAGCCTCCCAAATCTCCGGCCAAATAATGTAGTATTTTGAACTCTAAGAAAAAAGAAGTGCAAATGCACGTACATTTGCAGGAAATAGATCTATTACACCAAGTTCATAGAAGATTTGGCTACATTTTGGCTTGGAGTACAAGTCATAGCACAGGATTCCTGTGCATATGCAGTATTGATCCAGGAAAAAGATATCATGGGATCTGAGCATGGAAACCCTGGAGCAGGTGGAGGAGGTTTGAAAGGGAGAAATGTTCCCAAACCTCCTTAATAAGGTAAAGGAGGGATCTTATCTTAGTCAGTTTAGACTGTTACAACAAAAATGCCATAGATGAGGTGGCTTAAACCACAACTAATTTCTCATGGTTCTGGAGGCTGGGAAGTCCAAGATCAAGGTGCCATTGAAATAGAGTGGGCCCACTTCTGGTATGTAGATGGTGGCCTTCTCACTGGGTCCTCACAGGGCAGAGAGAGGGCTCCAGTCTCTCCTTATAAGGACACTAATCCCATCACAGGGGCTCCACCTTTATGACCTCATCTAAAGCTTGCAAAGGCCCTGCCCCATAATACCATCCCACTGTGGATTAGGGTTTGAGCACATACATTTGGTGGGGGGACACAATCATGCAGTCCATACTGGGTATCTTGGAAGAGGAAAGTATGGGAAGGTACACACCCCATCACCAAATTTCTATTCTTCTGTAACTCTGGATGGCACATTCATAGGGAGCAGTCTTGAGCCATTAATATTGCCTGGTCAGTGCCACCAGGATGGAGCCCAAATTCCTTTTTTTTTTTTTTTTTTTTGCATTAAAGTCTCCTAACTATTTGATCGTAACTAAGCTGTCCTGTCTTATTTCCATAGTTCTCATTGAATTGCTTTTATGTTTGTATAGAGCCTAAATTAATTTCATACATAACTTCTCTTTGTTAAAATAAGTAGCTATAGATCTACCTTAGCTAAACACCTCAGGCTTTTGTGCAGAAACAAATGAGTGGAACGATTCTCCTGTTTCCTCTGAAATGCTTTCTATTCCACTCCATCACCACCATCAATATACGCCTTCCCACCTCTGCCCAAGTAGAGGGCAGATTCAGAGACCTGGCAGGCTAAGTGAGATAGATAAAAGGTGAGAGATCAGGGCTGGCCTGAAGAGAAGTACAAAAAAAAAAATCCTATTTCTTAATACCATTCTATAGTCCCTTTTCAGCTTCTCTTGTCACTTTCCGTCTCTTGTCTTTTTAAAAGCTAACCCTTTGTAATTTGTATATTTATATTAAACTGTAAAATTTGTAGACTCTTTGATCCAGCAACTTCACTTTTAGAACTCTATCTTATTAAAACATGCATGTAAAAACAAAACAAAGTATACATGGGAGGGTTGCATTTAGAAGTCATTCGGTTGCAAGGAATAGAATATCCAACTCATTAGGTCTTGCATTAATGGACTCTTAGAAATGAGGAAAGCTTCAGCGATGTTATGATTCAGCAATGCAAAAATGTCAAGGACCCAATTTACTCCTGGCTTTGCCCTGTACATTACTCTCATTTACTGTCATTTCTGTCACTTTATCCTAGGGATTAAACCTTGTGATCAAAAATCCCTCAGGGCCCTAATCTCCCTTGTCTGTATTCAGGGAAAGAGATAAACAAAATTACTCCCACCTTCTTTCCCAGATAGCCCTGGCAGATTATCATCATATTATATGTCTTTATCTGAATCTGGTCATTTGCACAACCCTGAGCCAATAATCAAATGGGATTATGCTAATTAATTTACAAGGAAGTGACATAGCAGAGCATCAGAGCAAGGGGTGGGCTTTTCATGCTGCAAGAATCTAGGCCTACATGGTATGTGTTTGGTTAACTGTGTAGTTTTAAGACTAGTCACCAAGAAGAGAAGGAATGGGTGTAAAGGAGGAGGCCACAATCTCCACTAGAGTAATCTACGCTGCTTGTCGATATATCGTCTATGAAATCCTGAAAACCCAGAAACAACTCAAATATCCATTTAACAGGTGACTAAGTAAATAAACCTGGCACATCCCTCAGTGGAAACAATGTAACTATTCTGTTCATTTATTCAACCACTTAACAAATACTTACTGAAAACCTACGGTGGGACAACACCTTTAAAAATGCACTAAAGATACAACAGGAGAAAATAGGCAAAACCCTACCTTCGCGGTGTATGTATTCTCATTGGGTAAACAGAAGACAAATAAATAAGACTGAATAGATTGCTGTTCCATGAAAATGCTGCAGGAAGAGCAACTGGATAAAGGGGAGGCTGACTGGAAGGCACAGACCTGCTTCTAAACTCCAGTGGACGTTTGAACAACATGAGGGCTGGGGCACCAACATCCTGCGTAGTCAGAAATCCTTGTGTAACTTATGACTTCTGCAAAGCTTATCTACTAATAGCCTACTGTTGGCCAGAAGCCTTACTGATAACGTAAACGTTTGATTAACACATATTTGGTATGTTATATGGAGTATATACTATATTCTTACAGTAAAGTTGAGATAAAGTATTTAAAAAAAATCATAAGGAGGGGCTCCTGGGTTGCTCAGTCATTTGAGCGTCTGCTTTTGGCTCAGGTCATGATCTGTAGGTCCTGCAATCGAGTCCCACGTTGGGGTTCCCTGCTAGGCAGGGAGTCTGCACCTCCCTCTCCACTGCTCCTCCCCTGCTTGTACTCTCTCACCCTTTCTCTGTCAAGTGAATAAATAAAACTTTTTTTTAAAAGGAAAATCATAAGAAAGAGAAAATTCATTTGCAGTTCTGTACTGTAAGAAGTCCACAAATAAGTGAACCCATGCAGTTCAAACTCATGTTGTTTAAGTGTGAACATTGTAATCAGAGAAACACATAAAAAGACCTATGAAAACACGGGCTCCCAGGTGGCTCAGGTGGAAAAGCAGCTGACTTGTTTTTTGGCTTAGGTCACGATCTCAGGGTCCTGGGATAGAGCCCCATATCAGGCTTAGTGGGGCATCTCCTTGAGGATTGTCCTCCCTCTAATTCTGTCTCTGCCCCATCTCATGCTCTGTCTCTCTTGCTCTAAAATAAATAACTAGATCTTTTTTTTAAAGACTTATGAAAACATACTGTAATTTGAAATAAGCCACTTTATAGAGTCAGAAGAGATATCTCTCACCAACATATATTTACTACAAATAAATCCTTAATTCATAATTCTGTAAGATCCAGGGAAGATATGGTATCTTTGGGGCAAAACTAAGGAAATAGATAAAGAGCTAACAATCTGATATTAGAAACAACTACCTAAAGTCAAAAGTGTTTTTTTTTCTTGCTATGTCTAATCATAGTACAGACGAGTTCAGTTACTTATCACTTTCTCCTGAGAACTCTAAGATGGCTTTCAACTGTCAGCCTCATGGTTATGACCTTTTGTAGCTATGTAAAATAAAGCAATATCTGCACATAGAAATTCAGCTCCTTGAGTAATTTTTTTTCATATAGGATAGATAGCTTTGCATAAATATTTTTTCCCATATAGGATAGATAGGCTTGTGGAAGTTTACCTCATATTGTTACACACCATAAGCCACTTGTTGGTTTTTCCATTAACAAGCAAAGAATTTTAGCACATGCTCAAGATGAATTCATTGGAGAAAATTTGCTTTAATAAGACAAATAGAAGCCTCTTTAACCCTAGAAATCTTACTTAATTCATTATTTAAGGGTGAACTATTATCATCACTCATCTTTTATAGCAAGTGATTTTGGTATCAAATTAAAATTTTCAAAAGCCTTTAGTTATACTTTTAAAGATTTCATTTATTTATTTATTTATTTATTTATTTATTTGACAGAGAGAGAGAGCACAAGCAGGCAGAGTGGCAGGCAGAGGGAGAGGAAGAAGCAACTCCCCACTGAACAAAGAGCCTGACCTGGGGTTCAGTCCCAGGTTCCTGGGATCATGACCTGAGCTGAAGGCCGATGCTTTACCAACAGAGCCATCAGGAGCCCCAACTTTTCAAAGGCCTTCAAAAAATAAAGATATTTAGTTACTATCTTAGTATTATTTTAGTTGTACTTTTAAAGGTCAGTTAAGAAGTTCTGTCTCATTTAACGGATAGAAATACAAAAGTCTTTACTTAATCTTGGAGATAGTCATGTATTCCGAGCAGCTCAGTCTAATCGTTGTTTATCTGTACCCCATCTCTGCTATGGACTCTGCCTAACCATAGTCTTATCATATGATCCAACAATCAAGATGAAAACTTATCTCTACACACAAAGCTGCATATGGATATTTATAGAAAATTTATTTGTAATTGGCAAAACTTGGAAGCAACCAAGATGCTCTTCCGTAGGTGTATTGATAAATAAACTGTGGGACAGCCAGCCAATGGAATATGATTCAGTGCTAAAAAGAAATGAGCTATGAAGCAACAAAAAGACATGGAGGAAACTTAAGTACATATCACTAAGGGACAGGAGCAAACTGAAAGAGCTACATATTGTATGATTCTAACAATAAGACATTTTGGAAAGGCACAATCATGATGTCAATAAAAAGAATAGTAGTTTCCAAGCGTCAAAAGTCAGGCAAAGCATAAACAGGCAGAGCCCAGAGGACTTTTAGGGCAGTGAAAATACTCTATATGCTACTCTAATGACACAAGTCATACTAAACTATGGACTTTGATGGGTAATAATGTGTCAGTGTAGCCTCATCCTTTGTAACAAGAGTATGACTCTGGTGGGGATGTTGGTAATGGGGAAAGCTACAGGGTATATGGGAAATCTCTGTACCCTCCTCTCAATATTGCTGATAACCTTAAACTGCTTGCTCTTTTTAAAAAAAGTCAAAAATTATTAACAATTTTTTGTTGAGTGAAAATTATAGAGAATGGGTTGAGCCAAAAGTATTGCAATGCTGGCCGTGCTAAGAGCAGACAACGCTAAGTGAAGTTATAATTAGTGAGTTTTTATTGTTGTTTCATATTTCTGCTGTTTTTTTCCCTATATTTTGATCAATAAACATATAATAGATTTTACAGAGCAGATATATTGTTTGTTTTTAGTGAAATTCCCAGGCTGTTTACTTCACAAAACTTAGTCATAGCCCTTACCACCTTACAAAAGTCCCATCACCCACATTCATGTCTGAGAAGGAAGCCAGCTGAGAATGAGTGCAGGGCAGGGCAGGCTGGGATTACGGACCGGCTTCACCCTCATCCTCCCACATCTGTTCAGAGTCTCACATTCGTCACCGTGTGTCACGAGCAAAAACACAGTTACAATGAGAGGGCAAAGTAATTTATTTTGGGGGAGAGAGCTATATTAGACTGTGGACACCTGTGCTCCAGATGCCCTCATGGTGCTCAACAGCCTCAAATCGCTGACTTTAGGAGCAGCAAGCCCCAGGATAGGGCTGAGCCAAAATGCACAATTCTGTGAATCAGGGATATACAGAAGGTTTAGTCCTTCTTAGTATTCAGGATTCATTCCTCCTTGTTGCAGAGGTGAAAAATACAATCATCATCAATATCATCACAACCAGTACTTATTAAGTTTTTTCAATATGTCTACATACTTTCAAGTAATATTCAAGTCTCACAACTATCCAAGAAATAGGCACAAATATTCCTCCCTACGTGAAGCTTAAGAGGTCAACATTTTTTTTTCAACGTAAGACAGCCATGAGTCTTGCTGCCAATACTAGAAGCTAGACCCCAGAGTCCATGCTCTTCATCACTGTATAGGACTTCACAGAAATATTTGGACATTGGGAAAGAAAGACATCCCCAGAAGCCTGGAAAATGTGGACATACTAAAGTCACAGTCATTTCATTTAATAAGCATTACATAGCATTTCCTATTTCCCATTAGAACTCACTGTTGTGAACACTTTATAATTAGAAAATCTGAACAGATCAGTGAGGAGTAGAGATTGACTCAGTAATCAAAAATCTCCCAACAGAGAAAACCCTCACTGGCAAATTCTAGTGAACATTTAAAGAGAAATTAACACCCATCCTTCTCAGACTCTTCCAAAAAGTTGAAGAGGAGGGAACACTTCCAAACTCATTGTAAGAAGCCAACATGAGTCTGATACCAAAGCCAGAGAAGGAAGGACACATCGGAAACAGAAAACTGTCTCTGATGGAACCCACTATTTGTCTTATCTCTCTGCAGTGGGTGGAGGGTAGTTAAGTTCCCATATAAGGCTAACTTAAAACAGGAGTGTAACACATTGGAGAGTAATAAATGTCAAAGACAAAAACTGAACAAGTAAGAAGAATGATTTTATTCAGACTATTGCAGTAAGAGCACCCCAGATCCAAAGATCAGAGTGTCTCAGCAGGATGGTTTTGCCTTAAGACTTCTATAGGGAGAAATAAACATGCTACAGGTGGGGAGATTTGTAGTTGACAAAAACAACTGTTTTCAGTCAGGGGACTTCTCAGTCAGCTGAACAAAAAGTGTTTTCTCTGTGTCTAACCAGTTTCAGGGGAAAAAGGAATTCTAAGCTTAGCTAATCACTCATGAGACAAAGAATGGGGAGTTGGGAGGGTCAGTTCTGGCCACTTCAGCAGGTGCAAGTAAAAGGGGAAAGGTCTGTGTTTGGTTTTGTCACAGGTAAACAAGAGAGTCATCCCGAGTTTTATGGGAGCCACAAGAAAGAGTAGCAAAGTCTCGTAACTCCTGTGCAGAAGGGTAGTTCTTTGTGGTAAGCCATTTCCCCGAACCCAAAATTCTGAGGATTTTTAACAGTCACTGTTTCTGGGAGCACAGGGTTCAGATCAAGTTCAACATGTCAGAGGAAATCCAGAGATTCAGTCTGAGTCCTGATTTTGCCAATAACTTCCATGAGGACCACAGCTTCCTCTTCATGAAAATGGGGAGCAAGGGATGTTTTATTAAATTTATTTCTAAATAAATTATCTGAATGTTTGGTGAGTATCTATGAATGGCAGAGAGACCCTTTAGAAGAAGGGAGATGGCAAATGAGGGTGGCAGGGAGGGACACTGTCACAAAGGGAGGATGGGACAACAAAGAAAGGCCATGTCACAGAGAGGGGAGGAAAAATGTCAGCAGATACATCAAACTCCTGAGATATTTGCGATCAGAGAGGAGGCATCAGGTGCTTGAATTGGTTTGCTCCTTCTCTTCCACCCTGCATCAGAGACAGTGCCAAGCTGGGCATCATATAATTGGGTTTTGAGCAGCGCTAGTCTCAAGACTGCTATGAGATCCTTGCTTCTTCCTCTAAGCCCCAATTGAAGTTTCTATCCAGCTGTCGTGGCGAAGGACACTTGGACTAAAGACTGGGACGGTTTGCAGCTTGATCCAACTAGTGCACTTCTGGCAAGATTTGTGCCTGCCATGAAGCCCTGTCTCATCTTCACTCTTCTAAGCACAGCTGGTGAGCAGCTGGCCTTGGCTTCCTGGAGAGGGATAGATGGGGTGAGTCAGAAGGGAAATAGGTAGCCACAACTGAGGAGACAGGAAGGGGTGGGCATTTCTTGCAATTAACTGTTGAAGGAAACAAAAGGAACCACTCACTCTGCTGACTTATCCCATCAGGGTGCTCTCACAGTCCCTCTGAGCCCTGTGGTCATGGTGGGATAAGTCACTATAGTGCCCCACTCTCTCCTGAGACTCAAGTGTGGGATTTTTTGGACTGCCACTTTTTCTGGCCAGCCACATCGCCCTCTGGGCAGGTGGACCCAGAGGAGTGTGCGGGGAAGGCAGGTGGGTCAGGTACACTAGAAGCCTTATATCCCTGCCCCAAGCCTTTCCATCCCTCTCACTGCCAAAGTCAGGTGGTATGTAATTATGACTTTCTTGTTTATTTGGCAGAAGTTAGTTAAAAATAATGTTTTGAAAAAAAATATATTGGTTTGAAAGGACTAATGCATCCCCTCGCCCCTTTTTGTAATATACCACACTGCCAATCAGGGTTTCTGATCAGCGCATGAGTTAGTCTCACAGAATTTTAATATATTTCCATCTCAAACAAAGACATGTTTCAAGGTCCCTAATGCATATAGTTTTGGTGACATGTATGATTCCTTCTGATTTTTAAAATGATGTTTAAAATAATTTGGAGTCCCTGGTATTATCTTTAAAAGCCCTAGGTCAGAGAAAAACTACCCTAGCCAACTCTTGCCTCTCATTCTGTTTGACTCTCTTTCTACCTGTGACTCTATTAATTATTTAGGAGTTATTCTGGCCACAGATTCTAAAGATGATGACCCGAACTTACCAGAAGATTTTACTATTCCATACATGGTCTATCTGCAGTCCAGATCAGAACCCTGTGTGGGGTCTCTTATTCACCCTGAGTGGGTACTGACAGCTGCCCACTGTCCTTTACCGTAAGTATCCCTTTGTCCCTGGGAGCTGAGAGGGATCTGTTTAAACAAAAGCAAGTCTGGTGGGGCATCCCAACCAGCCTTAATGACATTCTAAGGGACGGGAAAACCAGAGAAGAGAGAGGATCTCCTTCCCAGCAGGAAAAATAACACCAATTTGTGTGGTTTAGGAGGAGATCAATAGGAAGGTATCAGGACACTCTCTCATGGAGAATAAATAATATCCATTCATTCAACATATTATTAGGCATTTACTATGTCTAGGAACTGTTTAATCCACTGGGAAAAGAGCAAGGAAACAAGATGGAAATAAATTTTCTCTCCTGAAGCTTATATTCTGGTAGAAGACATAAACCAAAACAAATAAACACCCCAAAATAAAACACCAAAGAATGGCAAACTGTAACATACAGGAATGAAACCAGAGATCTGCTCTAGGTAAGGTGGTCATTTCAGGCCACATTGAAGAGAGGAGACCAACAGGAAGAGAGGAGGCAGCTGAATGCATAAAGCCTGGGAGAACATTCCAGGTAGAGGGTACGTACAGTCCCTGAAGTAATGAAGGTATTTGGCCAACTTTAAGACCAATGTGGCCTGTAGTGAGTAGGGGAATGCCTACAGGGTGAGGGGAAGAGTCAGGCAGAAGCCACAGGATGCAGGCAACAGAAGGACAAGGGAACAATGCACAAAATCCTGCTCTCCCTTGTAAATCTGCATCCCTGCTGTGACTGCATGAGAATGTGCTGTGTACCTGGGACCTATTGAGAGTTTCAAGAGTCCACAAGGCTCATTTAAAACTCAGTTCTCAGCCACCTGATCATTCAAGACCATTTATTCAAACACAGATGGACCCCCTGCTCTGCACATGATAAGACATACAAAGGAAAGATAGCTTGTCCCCTCCAAGAATGGGGTTGGAAAATTCAATATTCTTTTCTCAGCCAGATCTAGTGCATGAACTGTTTTTGGTAGGAAATGGTGCTTGTATCTGTGGCACAATTGGACTCCTGGTGATGAAGTGGGTGTGTTTGAATGTGTCCAGGAAATACAATGGAAAATCATAATGGGAATCCTGATAGACTAAGAGCCTTGGGGATCAATGATAAAGAAGGCAGCACATTGCAAATATAGTGACATGGGCTTGAGAGGACCTAAGAATATCTAGAAATGAAGGGTATTATACACTTGCTCAAGAACTGCTTGAGACAACATGGTAAAGGCACATCTCTATTACTTACCCACTCAGATTTTCCAAATCTTAGTACCAATAATAAAACTAGACTGTACTAAGTGTGCTCTAGGTGACTGATACATGCCAGATTTTATATATACACTGACTCTAGACCCTAATACAACAACCCCGTAAACTACTAGTACAATTTGACAAACCAAAGCAGGTCACTTCAGTTCTCAGGTACGAGAGAGAAAATGAAGATGACTGGGGAGGTCACTTCTGACATTTGTTGCCATTCTGACAATTCTGTGACCTTCTCTTTCCCAACTCCCTGCCCCCTTTCTTCCAAAGCATTAAAATCCGACTGGGAGTTTATCAACCCAGCATCAGAAATAAGAAAGAGCAGATACGGAATTACTCATTGATTATCCCTGCCCCTGAGTTCAAGGCACGATCTCTGGAGAATGACCTGATGCTGATAAAACTGTCCAAGCCTGCTGTACTCAACTCCCATGTGGGGACCATAGCCATATCTATGGAGCCCTTAACATTTAATGATTCCTGCTTTATCCCAACCTGGACTTGGAATGAATACAAAAACCGTAAGTGTTTGAATCTGTGTTCTTCATTCTGAGGAGGTTTTGGAGCTGGGAAAAAATGTGGAGGAATATACTTGAAGGGAATGCTTGCCATGAGGTTATGTTCTTGACCCTACAGTGATTATTGCCAGGACCTTATCCTACCAAGATTGTAAGCCAAGAAATATCATCCAGAGACTGATACAGAGCAGCCAATCTGACACTAATGAGAGGACCAGGCAGTAACTGTCCTATCTCTAGAATATTCAAGACCAGAGCCCAGGGAACTGAATTCAGGTAACAGTGGAGGAACTAGATGTCCTCACCCTAAGAACAGTATCAAGGTGTCCTGTGGGAAGCTGGCTTACTGTCTCATTGACAGCTGCTGAAAGTCCACCACGCAATTCATCCAACAGCAGCGAGAAAAGCAAAAACAGAACATACAGCGAGATGACAGAGGACACTTCCCACCCCCTGCCACAGACAGCCCAGTCTATGTTGATGATGATTCACTTAAGCAGACCCTGGGAGATGAGGGTAGCTGAGGGAGCTCTTCCCACCCAGAGTGCAACTCTTATACCTATGCTTTCCCCAAGAGCTCCCCCTCACAGGTGGACACCAGGGCCTGCACAGGGGGGTTGATTTTGATTATGACATACTGTTGGTGTCTCTCTGGCCTTGACCTACCTCTGAGAAAAATTGCCACAGACCCTACTGCCGGCATGCATGCCTCTAGCCTCTGAGCTCTCTTGGCATGGGCAGAGAAAATCCAGTCTCTGCAGGAGCATGTTTTACCAAGGGCACTTTATGAAGAAAGTTGCTTTCTTACTCGTTTGCTGGTTATTGGTGCGTCTTTACTTCATGTGGCTGCTAAAAACCTGTCATACTCTCTTTAGGGATTGTCAGAGGATAATGGGGCCACCACTCACTATCTGAAATGAAATGATAAAGCTAAATTTATTAATGATTATAGTAAGGAGGAACAAAGCTGAGCAGACACCAGTCTTACTGAGCAGAATAGAGTACTGGGCCTAGATGGGGCTTGGGGAAAGCTTTTGGTACAGAGATTGGAGGACTTTCAGAGGCATAAAGAAGTTTACATCTGTAGGGGCATGGTGGTTGTTCATTGTTTGGCACTTTCAGGCATGTTTATCGCAGGGGGTCAGATTGGCTGATTTTATTTTATTTTATTTTATTTTTTTATTACAGATTTTTATTTATTTATTTGACACAGAGAGAGAGATCACAAGTAGGCAGAGAGGCAGGCAGAGGGGAAGAGGGAAGCAGGCTCCCCGCTCAGTAGAGAGCCTGATGCAGGGCTCCATCCCAGGACCCTGGGATCATGACCTGAGCCAAAGGCAGAGGCTTAACGCACGGAGCCACCAGGTACCCCCAGATTGGCTGATTTTACAAAGGTGACATTGATTGTCTTGTTGAAGCTGTGTTCACTGATGCGATTGTCGTGACATTAATCAGGTTTACACCCAGCACTGATGGCCCCAGAACAATCCATCTGTCCCATAAAAACAAATAAAAAGTGGGAATTTTATATTCTCAGTATTTGGCAGCTTCATTTTTAATTCAGAAGAAAATTTCTGGGAATCTAAGTGAATATATTTTCTTTTTTTTTTAAATTTAATTATTTGACAGACAGAGATCACAAGTAGGCAGAGAGGCAGGCAGGGAGAGAGGAGGAAACAGGCTCCCTGCTGAGCAGAGAGCCCAATATGGGGCTCTATCCCAGGACCCTGAGATCATAACCTGAGCTGAAGGCAGAGGCTTAAACCACCAAGCCATCCAGGTCCCCCGTGAATAAATTATCTGAAAAAATTGAAGTTTATGATTTTTATCCTTGACTTTCAAGTCTTATTCAAAGTAACTGCAAAAGTAAATTGTTGCATACTGTTTGAAAACAAAATAAAATCATACAAAGTTTTTATCACATGGGTTCTGCATGTCAGAATCATAGTGACAAACTAATTCTGTAAGCTCTTTGGTGTAAGAGTTTGGATATTTATTAGGAATTCATTATTTCAAGTGCTTGTTTACTTTCACCTTGTTTATTCTACACATTTCAATTCAAGGTTAAAAACCTAAAACTGAACATAACTCCCCTCTCTTTTTTGACTTGACACTTTCTGTTTTAGGACATCAGGTTGATACACTATCAGAAAAATCCTGCTCTGTAAGCAACACTAGGGTTAGTTTGAGCAATATCTAATCTGTTTTTTGTTGTCTTCCTCCTTGTCTGTCCCCACCAGAGATTAGAATTATATTGGTTAGAAATCTTGCATTCTGAGGTTAACAGTAGAGTAACAATTACAATGAGGGAGATGAACACTCTGACTTCTTTGGGGGAAATATATACGTATTCTTATACACACACTTATAAATAATCCATTTATAAATTATCTATTTCATTAAAAAAGCAGCTTTAGACACATTACAAATAGTTTCTCCCTTTATGGTTAAATGTAAATGTAAAACTTAAATGATTAAATATAAAGAAGTTGAAGTAGATGCCAAATAGAAAGATTTCTTAGGGACAATGGGTTTGTGTCTGTTTTCATGGTCATTTATAATCTTCTGGTGGGTTTTCAAAGGTTTCTAAGTTAGGCCAAGGAGACGGAGAATGACAGATCTGTTGTCTGGTGTAAGGAGAACGTCATGATCTGAATCTGCAGCTCTGACATAGATACTGAGTGAGAAACCCTCAGAAGGATGGAATGTGTTCACAAAGTAGGGAGGGAGTCATCACAAGAGTATGTGTGACAAGAACAGTAACCCTGGACTTCACTTGTCTTTTTTTTCCCTATAGTTAGTGACCCTGACATCCTGACGTGGATAAACCAGCCTTCTCATCCCTTCAATTACTGCAAGAATGCGGTAGGAAATAGAATAGCAGTACACATCATGTGTGTGGGAAAACCTTTGAACATCATATCTAAAGTCAAGGTATTTTTCCTTTCTTCAGATAGAAAGATTGCAAGGGGTCCATGAAGAGGAGGGGTGATTGTAGAAAATCAAATGGTGCTCATCCAAAAGGCCTGGAGTCCCTTTCTTCTCCCCCCAGGTCTTTGGGTTGGTCATTAATTCCTCTTCCCTCATTTTATAGTTCTTGGTAGAACGATTTGTCATTTCTCCTCCTGCCTGCACTCCGGTTGGGCTGAAGCTTGAACCAAGAAAAGTGAGATCTAGGTGGATGTGAAGAAAGGGTTGTTACCTTTCAAGAAAAATAAGTCTAGTCCTTTAGATGCCTCTGAGTCTATAATATGCTATGTCTTTGAATTTATTCTTTTTCCATGAAGACAAAGCAACATTGACCTCCTGTTCCCTCTCTCTGGCAGGAAGTCTCAGCTGCTCCAGCCATCTGCAATGGGAGGCTGCATGGAATCTTGTGCTGGGACAAAGGAAGTGTCACCCTGGGAAGTGAAGCGTTCTTCACAGAAGTCCATCACTATGCAAGATGGATCATGAAAACTATTAATACCCACTGAGGCACTCTGTTCCTCTGTCCCCCGGGGAAACATCTTCATGATTTCTGTACTGAATTCACAACTCTCTTGACCTTTCTTGCTCTTGGATAGAATCCAAGTAGAGAACATTCAGTTAAAAAAAAAAAAAAAAAGACACTAAGAACTCATGCTTTGACCGCCGATCTCTTTATACGTTAACTGCCAGCATGATGAGAAATGTAGCAATGTGCCTGTCAAGTGTTCATTCCTTTTAAAAAGTATTGAGTTGTCAGCTCCTTAGCAGATGTTGCATATGCTAGGGACACTTGAGAGACTATGACCTACGCTTGGCCATCAAGCAGCCAGTTATAACATCTTATGGCTATTGTTAAAATGGAGATAAGAAGTAAGTTTAAGGAGAGCAGAGAAAAAAAAAATCCAGGTGTCACAGCGGGAGGACATTTCACCAAATAGGCAGACAAATTAGGAGAGAATATTGTAAATCTGAGGGAACAGTTAAGTAAGTCAGAAAGGACAAAAATGTGGCATGTTCTGGAAAATATATCTAAATAAATAATACTGGAGGGTAGAAAGTAAATTGTCTGCAGGGGAGGAGGCAAGATGTGATAAAAGATTATTATTTATAGGTGAGCAAGGTTTAGATTGTGGAAGGGCCTGACCTGTTTGGTGAAGGAATTTAGATTTTTATCCTGTTGGGATCAGAGGGAGGTGTCATTAAAATCTCTATGGTAGAACCTCATCAAATTTATGAATTGGGAGATACTGAAGAAGCAGAAGCTGTAGAGTTTACACATATTGACTGTGAGTAGAAAGAGAAGTGTCTGGAATAATGCCCAAGTTTCTGACTTGGACATCTGCATAGATGATGGTTCACAAACATGCAGAGAACCAATATTTTCATATGTAAAAGGTCAGAGCACAGTCATGAGCAGGAAAGACAGGCATGTTATACATGAGATCCTTGAAGGACATGGAGGTGATCATGTCTAGCATACAGCTGGAGACAAAGATCTAGATCTTAGATAATGTCTGGACAATGACAATAGGGGAGTTGTATATTTATGGGTGGTAGCCGTGGACTTCAGCAGAGCTCTGTGCTAGTGGGAAGAGCTCTGAATGATGCTCAGTCCCTCTCTTGCCCTAGCATAGAGTGGAGAGATGTAGACCATCCAGGACCCATTGACCAAGACACCTAAAGATATGGAATTGAAAGGATTCCAAGTCACCCAAAAGTATGGGTCCACAGTGAGAAGCCAGGAAGTCACAAATAGGGGAGTGGCAGTGTGATATGAGGTCATCTATTAGGAAGGGAAAGGGGATCAGAGAGGGTCAGTGAGTTGAGAGAGAATAATGACACGGAAAGAAAAGACTCTACAAAGAGGGAAGAGATTTGGCATTCCATCCCATGAGAGAGGTGGTGAATCCATGCAACCGTAGAGATGGCAGGGGAGGGGAGAAAAGTTGGTTCCAAGACACTGATATACTCTGCTTTTCTTCCTCCACCAAAGCAAAAAATTAAAAAAAAAAAAAAAGCTGGATTATGACTAAGCCCATAGCTTTTCCTGACACATAAACAAAAAGAATCAAATTCTCAGCTTGGGATACTAAGGCCAAGTTTAATTCAAGATGTTTCCCTTTCTTGTAATTCTTGGCCATCCAAAGCACAAGTCCCTCTGTTTGCCTGTCTTCTCCAGCAGGCTTGCTCCTAGTTTCTCCCTGCTTCCTGTCTCTGATTCACTCACTACCCAATACCCTTTGTCCCCTTTACCGAATCAGATTTATATTATCCCAGAGTTTTTAATAATAGGATCATCTGATCATTTCTAAATTATGTCTTCAACACATACTGGCAATCCTGTATTTCCCAAGTCACTCTCTGTACAATGCTTCATAATGGCCACCTCAAGCATTCTCCTCCTCCTCCTCTGGCCATCAGTGCTTCATCTTCAGTGAATGACGTCCAACTAGGAGGTTGAAACCATCAGTGATAATTTCAACTTTCCTACCTCCCACTCTGCAAACATACTTAGTGCTTTTCTTCCTCATTCCTTTTGATCTTTCCTGGAAGGGAGACCCTATTGTCTCCAGCATTTACCTTCACTTATGATGTGAATCACTTCTCCTCTGACTTCCTCATGGATGGCTCTATTGAGCATCTCTACTTCTTTATATTTTTCCACTTCCCCTATCTATTGACTTCTTCCTATCACCATTTAAACAAGATAAATCCTATTCCATCTAAAATATGGACCCCAAGGATGTCCTCCCTTGATCTGCTCTCTGGTTGCCTCCTGGGTTTTCTTTGTAGGCAGTGCCTACTTGACAATTCCTGAATAATCTGCTCTGGAGGATTCTTCTTGGTCTGTCTTCACTCTCTTTTATACATGCTCTTCTCTTTTGAGTCCTCATTCAACTTCCCAGAGACTTTTCCCCCATCTCTTAATTTGGTTAACTTCTACTCATTCTTTAAACCTCGAATATCACTTCCTCAAGGAGGTCTTCTTCTGACCCTTATGTTAGGGTCCCTGCTATATGTGCTTCTACCTCCCTTTCCTTCTGCCATTCTGACATTCATGACAGCAGGTTTTCTTACACCCATCTTCCCTGTTAGACTTTACCATCTCATCTTCCTTACCACTAAATCATCAATAGCTAATAAAGTGCTGGTACACAGTATGCATTTGTATTGGTTTTCTATTGCTGCATAAAAATATTGCCACAAATTGAACAACTTAAAAGAGCACATATTATCTCACAGTTTCTGTGAATCAGGAGTTCAAGCATGGCTTAGGTGTGTCCTCCATTCAGGGTCTAGCAAGAGTTTGAGGTAAGAATTTGCTTCCAGGCTTATTCAGGGTGTTGGCAGAATTCATTTCCCTCTGGTTGTATGATACCAGATACTCACTTTTTGCGGGCTGTCCCCTGAAAGCTGCCCTCGGGTCCTTGAAGCTATCCTTAGTGCAGAGCGGTCATCCATACACTTAGGCCTCCTCAGTGTGTCTGTTCATGACCCCATGCCAGTGGGAAGAATCTCTCTTGTGTATGCTAGAAAGATGGATGTGTATATGTGTGTGTATACACAATGTTAATATTCTCTATCAATGTAAATATCAGAATGAAATCCCATAATTTTGCCATATTCTATTAGTTCAAAGGAAGTCACAGGTCTCACACCCAAGGAAAGGAAATTGCAATAACCCCACTGGGCTTAGGGTCTGTCCAAAATATTCAATAGAATTTCATAAAATAAATTTATTGGATCCTTATCTCTCACACAATAAGGACTTATGCAAGTCTTATATATGCAAGGTTTACATAATAAGACTTTTCATTATATAATTCCTGTTTCTCTCTCCACCCGGTTAACACTTCCGCTGTAACACATGGTTGCTATTCCACAAACACACCATGTTGTTTCACATATTCTTGCATTTACAGAAGACTTGCCCTCCTTTGAATTATTTTTTCTCTTCTTTTTATGCCAGACAAGCTCCTTCCCCTTCTCTAAGACCCAGGTAAAGTATAATTTTTTAGAAACTCTTTCCTTTCACACAATATACACTCAAGAAGTATCTTTAACTTTGTGCTCAAGGCACATAATTCGATTAAAAAAAAACTTTTCCCACATTAGAAGACAAAACAGATGAGAATAGGGAAAAAAGGAGAGAGAGAGTCAAACCAAGAAGCAGACTCATATCTACAGAGAACAAACTGGTGGTTACAGAGGGGAGAGAGTGGGGCCTGGGTAAAAATAGATAATGGGGATTAAGGAGGGCACTTGCTATGATAAACACTAGGTGATGTATGGAAGTATTGAGTCACTATATTTTACACCTGAAACTAATATTACACTGTATGTTAATTAACTAAAGACTTAAAATTTTTTCCCACATGTTATTATAAAAAATTTTAAACAGGCAATGAGGCTGAAGGAATTTTACAGTGTATACCTATATCCCCAGAATAGTCTACCACTAAGCAGTCTGTTGTTGTTGTTGTTTTTTAGTATCTTGCACTGATGTAGTATAACTGTTATAGCGGATGAACCAATACCGATACGTTATTAGTAACCAAAGTCCATAGCTTATGTTAGGGTTTGCTCTTTATGTTATATAGTATTATGGGTTTGGACAAAGGCATAATGTCATGTATCTACAATTAGACTATCATATGGAATCATTTTACTTCCCTAAAAATACCCCATGCTCTTCCTGTTCACTCTTCTCCCCATCTCCCCAAATTCTGACAACCACTCATCTTTTTACTGCCTCCATACATTGCCTTTTTTCAAAATATCATAAATTGGCACCATTCAATATATAATATTTTTAGAACTGGCTTCTATCACTTAGTAATATGCATTTAAGGATTCTCTATGTGTTTCATCTTTTTTTTCTTTCATCTCTTGATAGCTCATTTTTTAAAAATCACTGAATAATATATTTTCCAGTGTGGATACACCACACTTTGTTTATCCATTTAGCCATCTTGGTTGCTTCCAAGGTTTGGTAATTATGACTAAAGTTGTTGTAATTATTCAGGTGTAAGATTCTGTTGACATAAGTTTTTAGTTCATTCAGTTAATAACCAGGGGAGTGATTGCTGGCTTGTATGGTAAGATTTTTTTTTCTTTTTTTTTTAATTTTTAAAATTTATTTTCAGCATAACAGTATTCATTGTTTTTACACCACACCCAGTGCTCCATGCAATCCAAGCCCTCTCTAATACCCACCACCTGGTTCCCCCAAACTCCCACCCCCCGCCCCTTCAAAACCCTCAGATTGTTTTTCAGAGTCCATAGTCTCTCATGGTTCACCTCCCCTTCCAATTTCCCTCAACTCCCTTCTCCTCTCTAACTCCCCTTGTCCTCCATGCTATTTGTTATGCTCCACAAATAAGTGAAACCATATGATAATTGACTCTCTCTGCTTGACTTATTTCACTCAGCATAATCTCTTCCAGTCCCATCCATGTTGCTACAAAAGTTGGGTATTCATCCTTTCTGATGGAGGCATAACACTCCATAGTGTATATGGACCACATCTTCCTTATCCATTCATCCATTGAAAGACATCTTGGTTCTCTCCACAGTTTGGCGACCGTGGCCATTGCTGCTATAAACATTGGGG